CTGTGAAGCTGGCACTGTTGCTGTTTACCGTCCAGGGAAAGGACTCTGGATTGGAGGTGACCAGCTGGCCGTAGGCCTCACTCTGGTAGATCAGCCGCACAGTGTTGGCATCTTTGAGGTATGCCCCCAGCCCGTCCGGGACGCCTGCGTATGTATCTTATGCGAATGTATGGGTAGATAGATGACTGTCAAGAGAGTATCCCTGCTACCTTTGAAAGTGCAACCTGCCTGTGAGCATGGAGCCCGTAGTAGGGTCTACCTCACCAGCCGTGGCCAGCACCTTGATGTTGCCATGCGGAAAGTTGGTGTTACCAGCCTTGCCGTCCACCAGGTAGGCTGCATTGGCACCAGCATCTGAGGCCTCGCAGATGGGCTGGTCGTGGTAGCCCACGGGCTTCACATCAGCCATCTGCGAGCAGAATTCCACCGGGAATTGGACGCCGTCCACCTGTGATAGCAGCTGCAAGGCCTTCTCACAGTGGCATACACCCACCGGGCTGCTCGCCTCGCAGACGGAGTTGCTGAAGCTGCTTCCTTCGCTGGTGCTGAAGTCAAGGGGCATGGGCTGGTCACCCTCAGAGCAGCAGCTCTGGGCCTGGTAGAAGGTACGGATGTTGCTGCAAGACATGCCGTGCTCGTGGGCATTCACACTCGTTGCCATCATTGCCACTGCGAAAGCAGCGGCAAAGGATGGCCGAGCAGCCACCAGAGGCAGAGCCAACGCCATCCAGGACGCGCTGCGACCTCCACGGTTGGTGTCCACATCCTCAGCCGTTGCGTTGTCGGTTGTCGTCGTCATCACGCACAAATCCAGGTGCGGATGGTTGGGGCACTGGGCCACCACCGAGCAGACAAAGCCGGCACACAACGCAAGGAGGCTGAGCATGGCTCCAGTAAGGCTCTGAGAAGCAAGCGCTACAAGCTTTCGAGGTGCAAATGCCTCATCCAACAGCATGAACGCGTCGGTCTCCTTTGTGTATTGAGGGGATTTTCCGGACCCTGCCGTGTTCAGCACGCGCAGCTGTGCAGTGTTGCTTCTGGCGTTTTGCAACAGTTAGAGCAGAAGAGGAACACTTGTGCAGATAGAATAGGCAGGGAAACGTTGCTAGAATGTTTGCTCACTCAGCCCCCTGCAGTTGCAGCCTCCCGGTCAGCTGAGCCGGGTGATTGCCTCGGCTTCAGCAAGTTGCAATTTTGGATCTTGACGAATCTGGCCTGGACTTTGAGGTAATCATGAGTGTTGTAGGGGGTATGTAAGGTCGAACCGGGCTGGTGAACTTCAAACGATTTCAAGAGTTCAACAGCATGTGGCCTGACAGCTTAAATCGAGAGCCGCATGAGTCCTAACTGTAGAGCTCCGTCTCCCTCTCCTATCCAGTCCTCGCAGTTGCATCAATGCAGTTTCTCTGCTACAACGATGCAGAAAGCATGGATCGGGGTCGCTGGCAGGCTTCATGTGCATGTGCAGGATGGAGCAAAATCTACCTTTTCCATACGCTAGAAACCCTTTACTTCAAAGGATTATGCCAGAGTAGGTTTTTGGGGACCCAGAGAACAAGTAAAACAGCCGGATTTACGAGCGCAACCCGTCTTCAGCTCCCCACAATTCGGTAGCATCGTTTGAAGAGCTCTCCGCCCTGGACGGGAGTGCTTGGGAATGGCCAGTAAACAGTAGTGGGGGGTTTTGCTGCTACACCATTACCACCATCAAGATGTGTATGCATCATGGTTTGTCAACTTTCCAGCTTCTGGGGACCCCAAGTCTGAAGTGTAGGTAGTGTCTCCTGGCCGCTCCTATGATCAAAGTCTCAAGCCAGAGGGAAAATTAGCAAAACCCGCTAGCTTGCAGAATCAAAGTCAAACCCTAAAATTCCTCAGCCTCAAGAGTTGCATCATCCTTTTCAGCCTGATGATCACAATGTTATCCCTGGACAAGCCCTGCGTACTGCTTCTGATCTCTACATACCGAGCCCATCTTCTGCCCCCGCAAGCTCTGTGAAGTCTGAGCATCTCTCCGAGTTATCGAGGAGCCCCTGCCACCCAAAACCTTGATGAAATCGCCAAACTGGCCTCTCGTTAGACTGCCAGGCTTAGAGACTTCAGACTGACATTTGCGCTGGCTGCGAATTGCCTTCCATGCCTCTGGCGCTTCAAAGCGCGTACCTGCGCAAGCTTAGGACTTGGGACTTCGGATTGACAGTAGCATTCAACACAAGGTGCAGAAGTCAAGTCAGACAAGTGGTCGTGTCAGTCGTTATCGTGTCGTCGTGGTGGTAGTAGTGGTAGCCGTCGTAGTAGTACTAACAATAGCAAGAAGTAATGTTGGACATCCTTTTGCCTACCGGCCCCCTACAATGAGTTTAGGGGTCGGCCTATTCAGGATCAGGGCAATGATTGGAAAGTCCCCTATAATGAGTTTCGGTTTTGGGGGCCTAAAAATGTAGGAAGGATTCTCAACAATCCCTTTTAAATCAATCTACAGGGACCTCAGAACCGTGGGAGCCCACGGGGGACGTATTCAGGATCCCTATTTTCTATTTTTCGGGAGGCCCTAATGTTAGGGGGAGGGGCCCACATCATTAAAGAGGGTCCAACATTAGTAGTAGTAGTAGTAGTAGCAGTAGTAGTAGTAGTAGCAGTAGTAGTAGTGGTAGCAATAGTAGTAGTAGTAGTAGTAGTAGTAGGAGGAGGAGGAGGAGGAGTAGTAGTAGTAGGCACGCGGCGGGGAAAAAAACTCAAACACGACACGCAGGTATTGCAGGGTCTGAAAGTGCTGGCAGGCGCAGTGAGTTCGAACGCCGGTGAAATCTTGTATCGCCTCCTTTTTGGACACAAATTTGTGTCCAAA